AAAAACAAAGCTTTATGAGGTTAAATATTTGCCTGGGTTTTACAGGTGGAAAGTGATACAGCTTGATTTTTAACCCAATTTTATCAGACTCCAAAGCCTGGGCTTTTCACTAATAAGAAGTGGTTCACAGAGTGCTGGGGATTTATGGACCACCTCCACAAGAATTATTTCAAACATTGTTAGAAATGCATATTTCTAGGATAAGTAGACATTCTTTGAAGTGAGACCAGGAATATGAATTTTTGACGTTTCTCAATGCTGACATGCATCTCAATTTGAGAAACAGTGCACTTTATTACTACCTCTCAGGGAGCCCACTCAGTTTTTTTAGTGTTTGAGAGTGATTTGTTTTAAAGCTAAAACAAGAGAAGCTCAACACAGGTACTACACAGGTTGCCATCAAGAACCACAATTGAAAAATAAATTTTGGCATACTTTTATTATGGTTTCACTGTAGGAAAAATAACTTTAAAATTCTAAATTTTACTCTGTTCCTCTTCCAGAAAAAAAAAAAAAGAAAAAGAAAAAGAAAAAAAGAGATTGACTTGTTCTTCTTCCTCATTTATTGTATCAACAATCCACACATTATATAGGAATTGAGTCAATATTGAGGGAACCTTGAAGGAAAAAGGGGGAAGTGACAAATTCATTGCTAAAATTACAAGCTTTTCAGCTGAGAGTACAGTTCACCCTGAAAACCAGGGTAGAAATAAATACTTTTGGACTCTTAATGCTTGTTTAAACTTGTATGTGCTGTCTAGGACAGAGTGACTAACCCAAAGGCAAAGAATCAGACTAAACTAGCAGGGCTCACCCAGGATCAGCTGTCTACAAGCATCGAGTTTTGGGCAGATTACTGAACCTTCAATCTCTGCATGCACCAAGGATGACCATACATTGCAGGCCATCGTTTCCTCCCACCTCTCCCTTCCCAACCGGCCTCTGAAAGCTGAGAGCCTGAACTTTCTAAAAGGCTATGGGGTGGGGGGCCACCACACTCCACAGTTTTCTCCAGTCACAACCAGAAGTGCCAGCCTGTCGCCAAGGTCACCAACCACTGTGCAACCTGAACGCTCAGGTAGCTCTGTCCTAACCCTTCTCTCCTCTGGTAGCTGCTGCAACAAAGTACTGCAAACATGGAAGCTTAAAACAACAGAAATTTATACTCTAACAGTTTTGGAAGCCAGAAGTGAAGGGGCTGGCAGAGACAAACTCCCTCCAAAGGCCCAGGGGAGATCCCACTCCTCCCTTCCTCCAGCTGCCAGTGACTCCCTCCTTGCCCCTGATCCCACCATCTCTTCTCCACATGGCCTGGTTTCCTGTTTCTCTTTAGGAGGACATTTAGGGCCCACCTGGATATTTCAGGGTTATCTCATCTCAAGACCCTTAATGATGATTACAAAGACCTTCTTCCCAAATAAAGTCACATCACAGGTTCCAGAAAACTCACACAGACATGTCTTTTGGATATTTAACACACTACAAGCTCCAAGCCCTGCCCAAGCTGCCACAGCCTACTTGCAACTTTGCGTCTCCCTCTTCCTTTACCAGGCTATACTCTCTCTGGCATTCTTTTACTCCCTTGATCTATTAAAACTCTTTTCCACACTCTTTGCCTACCCTCTCTCTCTAATCTTTGCCTAGCTAACGCCTTCTTGAGGTCCTTCAGTTAACCCAAACTTCTGAAGAGAATTACTCCTTGACCTTCTTTAACAGCAATGGACTGTTTCCCTGCAAGTACATGGTACTTACACATGGGTTTGTAGGTTTAATTGTTCATATTTGCCTCCACCACTGGACTGTGAACTCTGTGACACCCTAGGAAGCACATTCGTTTTGTGCACCTTTGTATGTCTATCCAGAGCACAGGGTGACATCTGGCACATGGCGGCTTTAACTACACAATGGGATATTAAATAAATAGAGCCTTTACCCTTCCTTTCTAGAACAGGATTAAATAAATGCAAATAAATGGGTTAAGATGCTGACCAGACAACTGAGGACACAGAAGCCTGAAGTAAGTGTTGTTCCCTGCCCTGCCTTGAAGAGCAATAAGGCTTGGCACAGAAGCAAAGACAGGCACCAATTACTCTTGGGGAGTAGAAGGGCTTCTGCAGCCCTGTCCTGCCATGGACAGCTATGCAACACAGGAACTCATCTTACCTTCTACAATAATCTTGCCTCCTGTCCTAAAGGAATGATTGAGGGTTCTCAAAAAATTTGGGAAAAAAACTCCAGTGCCTAAACTCATTTCCACACCCTACCTAATACTAAACTGGAAAGTTTCTCTTTTTCTTAATTCTGCAAGTCTTAAAGTATTTGTATTACTGTTTTATTAATAATAAATGCTAACGGCTGTGCTAAAATCTAGCATGGGGGGGGTCTGGGAAACCTGAAATTTCCTCACCTTTTTTTAAAATTCCTGAAGTATTTTTGAAAATTGAGACATACATCATATAACAAAAGTTTGTTCTTAAATAATTCAGTGCTTTGCACAAATTGTGTAGTCACTGTCACTAATTCCAGAACACGCTCATTACTCCCTGCACTCCAGGAAAACCCATCCCCGTTCCTTAGCAATCATGCTCTACTCCCCTTACCTCAGCCCCTGGCAACTACTAGGACACTATTTTCCAGTCTTGTTTTACACTCACAAAGCAAGAACACAGAGAGATGATGTCATATGCACAGAGGTGCAAGAGTCACTCAGCAAGAGAACAGGGTTAGAGCACACACATTTCCAGTAACTTTCAAGTACAAGAGAACCAAGAGGTGAAAATGTCTAATACACATGCGCCATGAGACACCTGATGAGCAGTCCTTTGCCTGGCCATTCCCATGTGATGTCGCACCAGGGAGAGGCACAGGAGCAGAATGGAATCACGGAGGAGAAATCAATGCTACTGGGGGAGAACTGTGCCAATGAACCACTGTAGACTACAGGACATTTTTTCTTTTAGCAGAAAACTTTGAAATTAGTGCTTGCATGTCCAGCTGCCAACTTGCATCCTTTTACAATAGCTCTAACGGGTCCCAGAGAGCCTTGATCATTGCTTGCTCCCAAGTAGTTCATGTAATAACAGTGCTGACATCACTTGATAGTATCTACTGGTTAGTGACACCAAGGTAGGCAAAGTAGTTTGGGAACCTTGATCTTCCTATATTCCGTCAGCATTTTCAAATAAGCAAAAGAATTAAAAGCTTAACTTACCTCTACTACGATTATAAATGTGTACACAGAAACTGTAATCTCACAGATTAAAGCCAGCAGAATCCATTTGCAAAAGTAGGCACACATTTTATTTTGAATGTCTTAATCAGCGTTACAAATACCATTAATGAAAAGGGGAAAAAATGGAAACTGCTCATCACACAGAAAAAAAAAATTACTGTTTAAAAGAGATCAATCTGAACTTCTGTATTCTTTGTGCTTATTTAAAAACATTAAGATACTTTAAAAAGACAAGTTAAAACTAATATTTTATTATTAAAATTGAAACCCTACAACTAAAAGTATACAACTTAAATCTTATCTTTGATCTAGCAAATTTTGATTTGCTAACATATAACACATACACAGGAAAGAGCCTACCCTTGGATAAGTAAACAAAACTTTCTTTTACAAAAAAAGTTATTTTGAGTTATAGAGATCCTTGTCATTTATAAATAAAAATGACTGCTAAAAATGTTTATATAGATAATCAATCTATTCACAGAATTCATTACTAAATGACAGAGTGAACATTTAAGGTGGAAACTAACTGCCCACCAAATATTTTATAAAACTATTATCAAGCATGTAAATTAGCTTAAAAGGTCAACTCTTAATTGTCCACAGCAAAAGAGCTTTGGTACCAATAAATTAGAATTAAAGAATCAAAATATATTTTGCATGTAGAACTACAGTGTAGTTTTGGAATTAAATTGGAACTTGCCTAGATACAAAAACACGAAAATTTCCTTTTGTTCATATACTACTATGAGGAACAAACAGCCTAACCACTCTGAACTATTGACAAAAATAAGGCACTAGCCTAAAATATTTTCCAAAAAAGATTACTAGGTCACACCCACCAAATTAGGACAAGAAGCAAATAAAGAATTAAGTACTTTACTTTTAAATGCCTTGTTTCCCTTTTGATGGGAGCGTCAAAATACCAAAACAAAAATAATTTCAATAATACTTCCAGAATATGTCCATTTTTAAAACTCTCCCATATGATGGCGGCTAAAAACAACAACAAAAAATAAAAAAAGAAATGTTTAAAAATGAGTAAAATATAGAAAATTATTTTAAAAAGGAGACTGAGCAACAGAGAGACTGGATTTAGGAGAATCTCATGAAAAATTCAGAGTATTTTAAAATTAAATCTGGGGCACACATATTACATATGGAATTTAGACAATTGTTTGATAAACTTTAAGGCCGTTGGATAACTTACAGTAATTATTAACGTATTTTCATTTTAGGAGGCAAAAAGAGAAACAAATAGTTACAATTATATAGCAATTTTAATTTTCAGAATGGACATCCTAAACAATTTTCTTAAACAGATTTTGCAAACTCTCCAATTCATCATGTAAATATTGAAAATAAGTTTACTTATGAGAACTGTGGACTAATTCTTTAGGTGGTGTATGTATTTTTCATAAATCCAGACCAAAGTGAAGTAATTGAGCTGTTTAGTAATTGAGATTCAACCTATTACTTCTGGACACAACATTGGTATGACACTAGTAAAAATACTTTAAAAAATATATTTATCTCTTAAGTAATTTAGTTTGGAAAGTTGTATATTCTTAGTAAAAAGATTACAATTAACGTTTAAAGTTTTAAAAACAAAATTGGTTCAACAATTGTGAAAATTATATAGTTGACTATAGTAACTACAACTTTTACCCACAGAAATATACCAGTTTAAGAGAGCTCAGCTCACTTTACAAAAATTGTTTTTTTTCCAGTGCTGGGGGGGTCAAACCCAGGGCCTCATGCATACAAGGCAAGGGCTCTACCACTGGGCTATGCTCCTAGCCCTCACTTAAATTTTAAAATCATGTTTTTTTCTAGCTTTACAAATGTACTGAGCATTGCTCAACTGTTCAACATTACCTGTGTTAAAAGTGAAGGCATTAAAAAGTGTAGAAATTACACAGTGACTGAGTCCAATAAAAGGAGAATATGCAACCAACTTTTCAGAGCTAGAAGGGACCTTCAAGATCTGACCCAGAACCCACTGACAAGGAAACTGAGGCCCAAGCATATTAAATGACTTCAAAGTCACACTCCTTGGGTGAGCCAGTCCTGCATCTGTCATTCAGCCATCTACTGAAAGCAATGAAGTGCCACGCTGCTAGGTGCTGAAAACAAGCTAGAAGGAAGTACTACTGCCAAGGCAGTCTTTTTCCCTTGTAATCAACATAAATCCCCCCATGTCCAAATCAGTACAAGCTCACAGAAGAGTGAGCTCACACAAGAGTGCTGTAGCCTTTGTAGAACTGGGCCCACTTTGTTTCACACATTTTAGTAAACACAGTTGGGTTTAACTTCAGAGAGGCCTCAATTGTGTTTACTTTACATGATTAAGCATTAACAAAGGGAGACATAGTATTCTGAATGAATTTCTTTCTAGTACATTCACAACTTAAGGAAGTGCAATCAGAAAATGCCCTATGCTCATAAACAAGTTCACAAAACAGCTTAAAAAATCAGAGCTGTTTGAGGTATCAATGCATACATCAGTTAAGTCCAACAACTGAAGATTACAAAGTGTGGAATGTAAATTATCTCCCCATTTCATTCCGTCATGGGTATAGTTTTTTGAGATGTCTGTATGTTAAAAAGATTTTCAAACTCACAAAGTAATACCCTCTTCCAATGACACCATGGATCTATTCATAGATGTATCTGAACTAAGCCTTCCCTCATTAAGATCAACTTTCTCTGATTTGTAGTTAAGGGAAAATTCGTTTAAAAAATAAACAAAACCTAAGATTGTAGGTGTTAGCTAAAAGAAATCCAAATTCTATACAATCAAAATAGCAATAGCTCAAAATGTAGATTAATTTATTTGTACTTTTACATTCTTTAATATTAAGACTGGCACTTAAGTGTTCTGTGTATCTCAATTCATAGTCAACTTTTTTGAGAGTTATGAGACACACTGACAAAGCTCTCAAATGAAACAACCCATAAGTAAGGCACTATGAAACATTAAACAGCAGCATTCTGTGTACCCAGCTTCAGTGTAACGTTCCAAAATGAGCCTCAACTTTCTAGTGTTCTCACTGTTGGGTGACTTCTGACAAACTCATCTCCGGTGAGGCTCTGAATTTCCCGAAGCTGATAAAAGTGCCCTTGGGTCCCTCTATTTCTCAAACCTCCAGACTTGATTTTTATCTAGGGCCTCACAAGTTCTCATCTGCACATCAGGCCGGCCCTCAGCTGTCCGATAAGCACTGAGACAAAGACCTGAGTGTGGATGAAAAATGGTTCCATCTTCTTTAAAATGCCAGATGATGTTTACTGGAGCAGGGGACCCATCTTTGGGACAATTTTGCATTCCTACATAATTTTTTTGCTCAGGAACCTCTGCACACAACTCAGTCACCGAATTAAACCGTATTTCTTTGTTTGAAGTAAATTCAAAGAATTGGTTGCCTCCTTGACCGTGGCATCCAAACAGTGAGAGGTTAGCCCCGGTGGGGTTGTTGTCAGGAGAATTGTAATCTAAACATTCAGAAGAGATCCCCAAGCTGCGAACAGCCCCGTGCCAACCTGGCCTATCCTCTGGTACGTGTAAATTAGAAAACACGTTTTTCAAGTACCATTCAAAGCTTTTGCATCTCAGCTGTTTCCGTAGTAATTTTCTTTCAGAAATATCGCCATAAGCTTCCTTACGCGCTGGAGGGTTTCGATTGTAGAAATGCTCTTTGTACTCATCCATCCACACTTCTGCTGCACGCGCAGTGTTCTGCAGGAAATTGGGGCGGGCATATGGCGCCCGCTTGGGGAACACGTGGCCCACGTGAGAGCACGGGTGGATCTCCAACTTACCACCGCACTGCCACACCCTAAAGGACAGCTCCAGGTTTTCACCTCCCCACACTTCCATCCCCGTGTCATACGTTCCCAGGTACTCGAAGTATTTCTTGCTGACAGCAAACAGCCCTCCAGCCATGGTGGGCGACCTGATGGGGTCGATTCTTGACGTCCGCCGGTCCCTTTCGTGCTTGGGGACAGAATGCCATTGGAATGTTAACCGCCAGTCAAACCCACCGATCATGGGCTCCCCTGTTTGCATGTAGAACTCAAAAGTATTCCAATCAATAGTATCTATAACAGGACAAACGACTGCTGTTTCATCCCTCCCTATCCTTTCCAGAAGCGGTTCCAGCCAGCCAGAGTTACACTCACAGTGACAATCCAGGAAAGTGAGGACATCGCCCGTGGCGAAAGTGGCTCCGATCAGGCGGGCCCGAACCAGGCCCTCTCGCTTATTGGTTCGGATCAAGCGGACTCTCTCTAGATTGCTGATGTAAGTTTCAAGTTGTGCCTTCAAATACACTCTGTCACTCAAGTCATCCACCAAGATGATCTCCTTTAAAAGGACAGCGGGAGACGTTTCCAAAACGCTGTGAATGGTGCGGAGCAAAGTCGACCAGGCTTCGTTGTAGAAAGCGATGATGACGGAGGTGGTGGGAAGTCCTCGGTAGTTGTACTTCTTAGATTTGCACTCATACATTCTTTTATCCTCTATGTGGCGGTGCAGGGAAATCCTGTCACTGAGGTAAATGTTGATGGCATATCTCTCAATGAGCTCCTCTCGCTGCTTCAGTTCACCCTCGCCGAGCTGGAGTTTGCTCGCTCTCCCCCACTCACCAAGTGCCTGGGAATCTGCAGGGGGCTTCTCGTAAAGAGGTCGGGACAAATCTTCTTCCCTTTTCTGAAGGTGGGCGAGGGGCCTGGACCCCTGCCCCGGAGCACTGCCGCCTCCGGGGGAGGCGTGGAAAGCGGACACCGAGATCTCCAGCAGGACGTAAGCCACGGTTAGGAGCGCCAGCAGCACGCAGCTCCGGCCCGCCCAGGTCCACCTCACGGCCG